GTTCTAAGTCCAAATGATATACCGCACAATCTACACAACAGTACACGTTATTTTTAAATGCAGTTTTTCGTTTTACAATCCTTGGCTATGCGAAAAGACGACAATCTATTTCAAATTTATATATAAGGCAACATCCATCCTATGGAGAATCCCCCTTCCTACACGCGTTCACACAGCGTCAGGTTTCACGACAAGTCAAACTTGTCTGCTTTACTTTAATTATGTTTACCGAAGGAAACATATTATATTTGCTCTATTTCCTCTTCCTCCTCCTCCTCCTCCTCCTCCTCCTCTTCCGTTCCAAACACCTAAAAAACGTCCATATTTTCGTAATTAGAGCTTGGAGGAAAATGAAATTCAGCATGCTAGTAGGTTGATACGTTAGACATTGAACCTTGGTCATTTTGGCCAACATAGATGTCAGAAAATGATTTTATTGGCAAAAAATGGGTAAAAAAAGTTGCATTTTAAGCCAAAAATCGAACAAAAAGAACGCGTTTGGAACATTCGAACAACCATGGAACAATGGAACAGCGTGTTCGATAACCGCGGGTCATTGACCCTAGCGCTACGCACGGAACACCCGAGCTTTCCAAATATGGGCATCCGCCCTTGTATGACACGAGAAGACATCAGTGGACCAATGTAGCGGTAAGTTTTCATTTTGCTTCGTAGAAATACGGCCATATGAATACCAGTCACGAGTAGAGAATATTGCACTGGGGGTTTGGGTTCAATATCAACAAGTACGACTGCAGATTTCCACAGAACGCCGGCGACTTTGTGTAATTTTTTGCATGTCACCGCCGGCTCAAATTAAAAAAAAACGCTCATAATTTACTAGCTCCTGACTTGATAGAATCTCGTATGTATAGAGATTTAGGCTTGCTGCCGTTTTGAAAATAAAGTAAACAGAATTGTGTTCATCTGTAACTAATGTCGACTTTGTAATGTAGGTGCGGGGCCGGGGGAGGGGGGCGTTTGTTTACGTTTATTACTGATGACATGATATAACATGGATATAACATTACGTTTTGTCAGACAGTTTTAGTCTTTTTCGGGATAACACAGTACAGCTAATGGGATAAGCATCAAATCGGGATTTATCGGGATATCCCGGGATTTTTCGGGAACCATGTTGACTAAGATTTTTACAGTACAGACGGTGCGGCGCATGTTTGTTTCCAAATTATGCATGATGGTAACATTAG